TGTTCTGGCAGTAAACATGTAAAAACAATACTACTTACTGCAAAAAAAAAAATATCTTTTTTCATAAGAACTGGCTAATTAAGAAAAGAAAAATAGTGTTATTTTATGTCACATGCAGTTTATGCTTTAATATGTGGTTTCCACCATTACATGTAACAACAACATGTTACATTTGAATCCACCAGATAGAGCCATAGTTTCACTGGCTCAGCTTTTACAGTACAACATAAACCATCATGTACCTATTCTGTGTCTGAATTCAGCAGGTTGACATTGTGTATGTGAATGCATGTACTTGCTTCATATCAGCCAAAGCTGTGTGTCTCTGAATGCATAATGGCCTGCATTGACAGTCAACAGCCTGAGGCTCATTTTTACCCTCGTGTGTTAAACTGAACTGTGTATGCCCAGATCTGATCAATACAAAGGCCTGTTCAACCCCCCTCCCACCCACCCCCTCCCAAAAAAAGTCCCTTCAGTGTCTGCTGAATATCAGTACATCAACAGAGAAACAAAAAACTTTGAAATCAATGCTTTCATTATTGATCCAGCGAGGGACAAGCAAACAGGTTTTACACAAATGTGTGGACGTCACACTAAATGGAAGTGCAGAAATGAGTGAATATGCACAGAGAATATCAACACAGGCACACAATTCTTAAACATGATGTCGACATCAGTGTGCATGAACGTGCTAAAAGATAATTTTCAAGTTCATTGAACATGCTCATATTTTTGGTGATCAGTGAACTGAACGTATCTGTTTGCAGCAGCTAATTCCCAAATGGCAGTTCAGATGCAGCTATGGTACTGCTGAAGCCAGTGCTTATGAATACTGGAAGGAGTTTTATGAACAAATCAGTAAAGATTCTAACAGAAAAATCTCGCAATTTATGCAAATAGGGCCTGCTGGGTCTAAAAAAACAAGTCTGAACGTTAGCCAAATCGGCAACAAATTTGAAACGACACATCGAGTTAAAACATCCAACCTGTCTTGAGCTCAAAACTCAAAAAACTCAAAAAAATGTGAATTTGTGAATGTGAAGTAGTTCATTTTAATCTGCGTGAAGTGAAGTTTGAGCTAGCTCTTGTACAGGGTCAACACAAGTGAGCACAACACTGATCGACATTGTAGCGCTTGTGTTGTCTCTGGGTTCAGGTCAGGTCACAGCTGAAAGGCCATGTCACAAGTTCTTCAACAGGGGAGACACATTTATTAATTCATCCAGTTTTTGAGCAAGTAAAGCTCATGCTAATAGAAACATAAAGAAATTATTACTTTTAGTGAAGTAAACCTGTTTTTAATTATTACATTACATTTGTGTGGCCAGTTCCTTTTCGGTGCATTTATGGGCCTGGTTAAATGTTCATGAAAAGGTTAAACATCTCATTAAATTTGATAATAACAATATGCAACCTTGTGACTCTGAACAGGAAGAATGGGTAAAGAAAATAAACAGATGGATGATTTTTCTACGGAAGCCGAGAACGGCCATGACTTTTTTTTTTTTATGCACGGTTATATCGTGATAATGACTTATTATCTCGATATAACAAA